TACTTTTTACAAATAAATTTGCAAAAATGCGCTAAAAATGGAATGTCGGTTAGGTACTAAGACACTACTGGCTTTGAATTGTCGGGATCTAATTTTTTGTTTGCCTTCAATAGTTTCCAGTGTTACTCACTACTCTCTGTTCCATACAATTACGAAGTCTCAATGATACTCATTACTCCCAGTCCTGCATTACGTCCTGTTCTGGTAGCTTTACAGAACGTTGTACCGAAAGTTCAGCAAGGAAGAAGAACTGAAGGGGGATGGTGTACCTATGCGGAACTTAAAAAAATATAGTCCTTGAACTGCACTGTACCTTTAGCGCAGCTTTTACAAAAAGAGAAACAAATTAGGTAGCTTTCTAATGACGTACCACATAACCTATGTTGCCATTTAAAAAATTCAAGATGGCGGTCGACCTCAAAAATAATGTGTCAAAATGTCAAAAAGTCAAAAGTAACGTAACAAAAGACTGTTTATTGCTAAATTGATAGGATTAATTGAACTGTGTGCATTTTAGAAGCAATTGTAAGATTTATCAAGTTTACATTTTAAAAAAAACTTTATCCTCAAAATATGTGAAATAATTTCAAATGGAACCGTTGTAATTTTCATATCTGTATATCTCAAACGGTTTCAGCGGGAGACTTCTATTTTCCATATTTAATAGCGACCCTGTATAGCTACCTCTTTACTCTAAATTTATGTATCCTGAAGAAATAGGTATGAAACTTAAGGGACTTTCTTTATTCCAAACATAAAGAAGACGCCAGGGGCGAATTTAGAAATTTGCCACCTAACAAATGCAACACTTGTACCTATACATTCGTTTTAACGAGTTCGTTTTGTCAAAAGTCACTTTGATTGCCATCAGAAGGAGTATCGAAGAGATTATAATTAGTATTAGATATTAGGCATTAGTATAGATAACTACACTTCCAATGTCTTTCTCTGGTGTTCTAGCCAACGAGGTATAGTCATACCCAGGGCCATACCTCATCTTCTATTTTACAATTAAACATTAGGTATATAATTTATGTAACGGTAATGTACCTACTTATAAGGAAACTGCTGTAATATGATAGATAAATATTTTATTTGTTACTCAGTTGTAACGCCTGATGGCTCGCCAGTCAACTTCTCCTATCGCCAGTAAAAACTCACTTACCTGGCTAATAATGTAAAATACTATATTTGCGCCAATTAACATAAACTAATTACATTAACTACATTATTTTTTCTGAATTATTCTTCCCTTTTTAGAGGAATTTTTCGTCCCTTTATTTGTCCATCCGTCTGTTCCTCGTCTAACTCGAGAACGATGTCAATAACCTTCGCTATTGAATATGAACCGTGTTTCCGAATACAAGCTGATCCAAAATATTCCCCTACCTACAGAAAATCGTATTCGATTCTTCGTATTTTGTTTCTATTATTCCATTCATCCATTTTTCCTCTGCTTCCCCTTCCTCCAATGATTCTCTTCTGATTCCATCCGTTGCTTTTTCTATTTCTTACATATATGATCAATAAATATCTTCCGCTTTCAGTTCATATAGCCTGCATTATCATGCTTTTTCTCTCCACATCTCCATTCCTCTCCTCGTTTCCGCATCCGAATCTTGCTATTAGTTTAATGTTTTTCTTTCTCTCCTTTAGATATTTCGTGATATTTGTTTGTCTCTTTTTGTAAGTTCTTCTTCCATCCTTTCAATCACATGTTCTACCCTTCATGGTATTCTAATGAATGGTCTCATCGAAATATGAGTATATTATTCAACGAGTGAGAAAGTTGGCAATTATTCACGAAGATAAAATTTGCGCCACGAGTCGAAGACGAATGGCGTAATTTATCTGAGTGAATAATGCCTTACTCACGAGTTAAATACTATACTTTTTCTACTTGTATTCAATAATTACAGTAATAATAACATTGTCGTCCGTAATCGTGAATTTCCTGGGGTATTATACGTTATCCGGAGCAGTATCCGGGGTAAAAATTAATTTTATCTCTCATTGTATTCTAATTAAAGGTCTCATCGAAAGGAACCGTCTTCTACCAACTACTGCCCTTCTTTCTGTCCTCTTATCAAAGGTTTCTACAACAATAGTCCTCTTCCTCGACCTGTTATCGTGATCGGGTACCTATATTCCCTTATACCTCAAGAGCGGAAGAGGGTACTCACAAAGGGCGATTGAGACGTCTGCATGAAATATATCCAATGGTGATATCAAAACAAAAGCTATTTCGGTTTAAAAAATGCGCTTTATCTGCACAGGAGTTGTGTACAATTTATACTTGTTTTTACTGTCTCCTATAATATGTAATTTATTCTTTCTTCTAGTTCATTCCATTCCTTCCATCCCCACAGCTTCATTCCCTACATCAACACCCCTGCCACAATTGCATCAAAAGGCGTTTTCTACTTCTAACTCATTTTCAAATTTCCTCTCTCCTATTACCCAACCTGTCTATCGCCACTTCCCCCTTTTCTTTCATAATTCCCTTATTTGAGCGTTAGTCCCATTATTTTGTTGCATCTGGTAAACATAAATACTTCTCATTCTCCCCCCCCCCCCCCATTTACTTCCTCCACTTCCATTCTACCTCCTTTTTCCTTGCTCCCCTCTTCTCAAATCTCATCATCTTCGATTTATATGTTGCACGCTGTAGTCATTACCGTGATTCTCCTATCATTTTCCATACCGTTTTTTTTTCAAATCGGCACTCGGCTTTCCTTCCATTCTTCCTGTAGTTCTCCTCTTGCGATATGTTGAGGTTATCGAATGGTGGCTATCAGTGCTATCAGACAGGAACTCACGCGAGAAATCGTGCTAGAGTATTCCCGCCTTTATGTAGCGGTCATGAAGCGCTTCGTCTGGTGAACGTAAGCATTAGGTATAACTTTTGCTTTTGTCGTGAAAATGACAGGTTTGGATTTTTGCGAAAAATATTGATATCAGAATTTGAAAACTCCAACCATCACACTAAAATAGTTTAAAATAGTTATCTAAGCATTTTTACGCGAATAGGTAATGGCTGTATCCTCTTGAGGTACACTTATTTTTATAGAATTCCTTCTTTGTTAACGAGTTTCTTTTTAAGTTATGTCATATGTTTTAAATTTAATTTAATTACCTATCTTTGTTTTACCTATATCGCAATCCGAACCCATTTATTAATGGGGCACGTAAGTTTGAATTAATTGGATTTGGGCCTGAGTTTCACATTGTAATTTTTGGATATATCTTTCGTGTAATGAGCATTAACACTCATATCTATGAATACCGTTCTCTTCTAAATTCCTAAAACGAGTTCACTAATCTATGATGGATATGTCTGCTTAACTCATCTAACACTGGGTATTTACGAAAAGACGTTCTGCGATGCAATGTGTGAACTATCGGAGCAGCTACCAAAGTGCAGGTAAACTGTAAAAGCTTTTGTCGTGTCATTCCGTTGCTGTACATTTTTGCTACCGTCGCGTCGGCGTCGGTCGTGAAGAATTACTTTGCAATTGGTTAATGTCCAAGCAACTATAAAGTGCCTTTTTATTTATCTTTTGCCTTTGTCGTTAATGTTAGCGCGAGGTAATTCAGTTAGTTACTTTATTTATCTTCCGGTCTGTAAATGAGATTATAAGTAATCAACGGTGCTGAACATTGAACAATTACATTTAGTTAAGTGTCACCTTGCCCCGAACTGGGGGCGTTTATTTACGCTTTATGCATCAATTAAATATCTTAAGCGTAGATTCTTTCCCAAGACAAAGGTGTTTATACCCACTATTGCCCGAGGATTCAGAAATCTTGTATTCTTATTTTATGTTTAGTTTATATTTACTTTTTGGCGTGATTCAAGTTCAAAAGGGCCATAACGGCTTGAAAAAAATTGTACTTTTTTCGCCTACACTGGCTACTGTGGCATAAAAAGTCCATTACAGTTTTTTTGTGAGTTTCTTAGTTTTTGAGACTATTTATTTTGTACTTCTTTGAAATTTGCACTTTGCTCGAAAAGTAAGCACCATAGCCGAAAATGTTAAATACATAAAATATATAGTGTCTTGATGAACTGTACGAAAAAAGTCTCATATACATTTTTTGCGTCAGGTTCAAAATAAAGGCGCCAAAGGTAAACATAGTCGGTAAGTTGGAAGTTTTATTAAAAATTCACACATTGATCGATCATTGATATTTGATGATGGTTTTGTTTACAGCGTGATAATTATTCTTTAATTGAGAAACTTTTCTCTATTTTGACTATCGTCGTATCTTCTACGGTTTCGGAGAACCCCATGTAGGTACAGAGAATTTTTCTTAAATATATAATACATTATAATATAATAAATACCTACATAACTTTTAAAAAACCATGTCAATACTTAAAATATATCGCTATAGGTAACCAACATTACATGCGATCAACGAGAGTTGTTTCATTTAATTCTTTCTTCTTTCAAGAATTTAATAATTCGTGCTGACGTCAGGAAACAAGAAGCATTTTGAATCGTCCACGTGACCTTTGCATCAACCCTTATATTTTTAAAGACAGATACGAATTTTTTTACAAAAATGTTCTTGGGGCATTACGAATTTTTTATTACCTTTACATTTGATATTTAAAGAGCGGAAAAATTAATAAGCCAGAACATTTAATAAGGCAGACGCCTTCAAAGTTTGAAAAAATTATACTGGTCGCCATAAATACAGGAACACCCAATGTGGGGTGGGGTACGTTCAGCAAAGCAAAGATGGTTGCCAAGAACGCCACTGAAACTGAAACCGCAAACAACTCAGGCGACATAGCTCTAAAAATTAATTACCTAAACAGATGAATCTATGGCAATGCTTCATACGAGGTATACAATTCTTGTAGGTCAGCTGATCAGTAATAGCAGACAAATATGTCCTTTGTTATGACCTTAACTTACTGTGTTACGCTTGCCATCGGCAACTTCTGCTTCCACTACACCAGCATACACTAAGCGTCAATAATATATTCATTATGTTAATTGGAAATGGTTTATTTGCCTACTTACACATACCTAGTCTTTATACAATTTGAATTTTTATTATATTAACAAATAAATAATTTCATGGCATACATAAATGCTCACAGTTGAATAATTTAAAATTTATTGCACCATTTTAAAGCTTCAGAAGCAAATCGGAATTTAGTTTTTTGAAATTCGTTAAAGTACTAAAAACCCACTTATAATTTAATCTTATTTACAAAACATAAGTACATCAAGACAACGCATTTGGGCGAACAACATAAAAGCGTCGAGTGAAGCACGTCCAACACACGTTGTTAAAAGCTATCACTCAAATGTGCGGTCCAGTAGGTGTTAATGCCGGATGACTAATACCAGAATTCACCATGTGCATGGCTGCTGCCGTGTTGCCAGATTGTAAGTACATGTAATAGTTGTAATTTTGAGCCGTGTGGTCCGCCACTGGTGGTGACGGTCCAGGTGGTAAAGCGGCGGCTGCGGGTGAATGGGGCGAACGAAATGCAGCCGAGTGGACGCTAGCTAATATATCGGAGACCGAATGCGAGCTCGGCCAGTGAGGCCCTGTATACCTTTGGGGCGGGGGCGATTCCAATTTCTGTTGGGGATACGGGTAGGTGGGATAAATCGCGTTGTAAAGCGAGTGGGAATGCGCGGCCGTATGCACTAAAGATCCTATTTTATTTCTTAATATTCGACTAATTGAACTAACTGAAGGAACATTGTACTTGTCACAGACACCATCGGATAACAGTCGATCTCTAATTTCCCACGCGAAGATGCCGGGATCCTTCTGCTTTAGTTCTTTTATATACGACACCACCTTCGGCGTTGTCACCCGAGGTTTGGAGCCGCCTATCGCTCCTGGTAAAATGGAACCGGTCTCGTGGTACCGCGCCAAAATTTTGGATACGCAGCCGTGCGAGACGCGCAGCTGTCTTGAAATATCACAGGGTCGAACTCCCACCTGCGAGAGTTCCACGATTCGTAATCGAACCGCATTCGGTAACGGACGGCCGTTTACGAAGACACCACCAAGTTGATTGACTTCGCCATATTGTTGCACTTGCCCTTCTGAAACAAGAGAAGAGTTTGTGTTAGATGCATGAAAGTTTGATTTCAGTTAAATGGAATAAGTGGATTGTTGTTGTTTGAAAAGGCCCTAATTAAAAGTAAATGTTCATAAGTATACGAGCGGTTTTCTTTCGCAAACCTTAAGTAACGCTAAATTAAATTCATTTACTTCATTTACAATCGCGTTGCACGTGTATTGCAGGTGGCGTGGCGGAGTTCACTAACTGTTATCTCCAAGTAATTAAACGATTAAACCATTATCGACAAAGAAGCAGGTTGACGTGGCTTGACGGAAAATCAAATCAAATAACACGAAATCTATAAATTACAGGTAGTCAACTTAGTTTCTCTCGCGGCTCAACGCGTTGCTTTCACGGTGCAACGCGCATTGTCTCACGGTTCTCTCAGAACAACGCACTTCCCACTCTTAACTTTTTTGAGTGATACCCATTACCTTTTCCACCAATAAAATTAATTTTTTTCGCCCAATCAGATAGGTTGACGGCCATAAATCGACTCAACGTGGAGTAATTTCCTGCTGATCAACGCTACGTAGTAGCCTGTATAATGACGACTGCAAAATAAACAAAATTTTTCCTGCAATTTGAACTAATCATGTCATTGTACGACTCACCGGCGCCTTAAATTTTCACACGTATTTTGAATAATATCGAGAGTTGCTCTCAATATTATTATGTGAGCTGGCTGCAAAGCGACCCCACTCGCAAATTGTTTATGGTCTGGAACCCCAGTGACAATGACTACAGATTTTTAGATCAATATTCTATACAGCTTTTTACAATAAATATGTAAGAATTGGCATAATATTTACAACCTGTCAATTGCAAATCAGGTAACTAACGTAGTCAACATTGTGTGCAATCATAAATAATTAAAATTTAAAAATAATTGCTGAGTTCTCTAGCGTTTCACATTTTTTCGATTTTTAATTTTCTAGGTAATAAGTATTAAGGAGTAGGTATATCGGGTGTTGCATTAGTGACTAGAGTTTAGTTTTTACAAAATGTTTATGGGTTTCAATGTTTTAAAAGTCAGTAGGTTCTTAATAAGATCGGCCATTTGTATTTTATGGGTCACTGGTTTCCATATACGTCGTGAGCGGGTAATGGCTTAGAGCAGCTGGAGACAGTCAGTCGGGCGTTAGGCGTTAATAGGTTTTAGTATCCAAAACAACCAGTCAGGATTACGCAGAATGATATCGTATTGGTTCATGAGAAGCTCTGAATTTGCAATATTAAACGGCCGCGATTTTGATCCGTATTCGTTTCGTTCCATTATTAAATAGTGTCTTTTAATTCCTTAGCGCCATTTTGTTGGTGGTTTAAAAAAGTAAAAGCTGAGTAGGGATTCATTCAGAAGGTTAGTGTCAGATTTATTCGGTTTTGAGCCGTCATAAAGCTCATTGTGGGTAACCAAAAGAGAAGCATTCGCACACCGCACAAATCCAAGAAGGAAGGAACTTTCTTTTCAATCTGAGATTTTTATCACTTCATGTACAACGCATGCGAACCTTGACCTAGCAGGATTCTGCTGTAGGAAATTTCTATAGGAACGACACAACTACCGAGAATATTTAGAGGTATTTAGTGGCTGTATTATTTTTCAATCGCGTGAATTAGGTACCTTAAGGATGCCATAACAATTTTCATTTGCTGCCAAATAGCTCATTTTGGTTCCATTGAAATTTTAAAAGAAGGGGCTCTTAAAATATTACGGCCACTTGTGAATTTTCCATTAGCATAGAAAGTTTCTATTTTATTGCAGATTTATTTTTTAAGGAGACCTCACGGAGAAGTTTAACTTTGAATTAGTCAGATTAATAATTGAATATCATTTTATAGTCTTTACAAGACCATTCCTATATAAGGGTACAAATCTGTCAACGCCGTAGAAGTAAGTTCATTACATTTGAACAGAGTTAAGTCGAAGATTACTCATATTACAAAGAGAAAGCCTATTGAGTTGTAATTTCACTTTATTATGCAACCGAACCCATAGAGTTTGACATTTAATATTGAATGTTAACTAACCTGAAATTTATGTAATGGTGATATGGCTTGGTCGATAAAGCTCGAAGTACTGATTGATCCAAATGATTGAAAAGACAGTCTATATACCATCCTTTTGGTGAATAGTCTTTGGGCGATTTTGATTGGTAGGGCTAAACGAATCAGTTTCGTTCATTATTAAATATGATCGATTTAATCACTTAATACCATTTTGTGGATGGTTTGAAAATTTAAAAGATCAGTAGAGATTAATCTAGAAGGATAGCGTTAGATTCATTGGTTTTTGAGCCGTCGTAGAGCTGATTGCGGATAACTTTGCTTTTGAACCATGACAAAGTCATGTACACTGCCCGTAATAAAAAAAATAAAATTTTGTACGCAAATATTACACCAAGTTCGCGGTCGACGATAAGTGAAATACTGGAAGCAGATTCATTACAGTCGGATTTAACTTAAGCCAAGAAAAAGAAAGGAACGTTGCCTCATGATGTTTTTTTTCACACCACCTCACCTGCACCTTCCTTCCTTTTTGTTTGAGATAGTCTGGTCAAATTTTCCCGAAAAAGCACCACCGCTGTGACCTTTGGTGTCGAATTACATGTCAAGCAGCTTTGTTTTTATGGCTTCAGTAGTAATTTTGGTACCATTATGCTCGATGGTCATATCTTAGTCATAACGTATGCCATTGAGTGACGTCACGTACTTTTTATGCCGTTACCTATGACAACTATAATTGAATAGCGGCATAGAAGTTACAGTTGATATCGCCTTGTGTCCGTAAATAATAAATTTCCGTAACATAGGTACGTTGGAATGGAATCCTGATGTAACAAGAAGTCATCCTTCGTGGGTTCCAATCAAAATAAAAGCCGCAACGAATTTCTAGAGAAATCATACTGCAATTCCAAAAGACCTTTGTAGCCGATCTTCGTGTAAATTCCCGTACGATGGGCGGTGTATCTAGTTAACCGACATTTTGAATTGCAAGTACTTAATATGCTCATTACTAATTGGGTCAATCACATCTTCCATCCTTGCATTCCATAATAATTCAGCAGCAACAACACCAGCATTTTATTTCGGTACAACATTTGGTGTCATATTCCCTGTACCCCAAAATTGGTCCCCTATCCAACAACTCATCAAACCAAAATGAAAATTTATCTATCCGAAGTGTTCGACAAAGGCAACCCTACACGATATCGAAAATAACAATTCTATTCATATACCTAACACCATTTCGCTACATATTGTAATTACAATTACGATCACTAGAACGACATGGAATTAGAATTCCATCACCCAGAGGCATGCGGATTTATAAACAGCGAGTAAATCACGAACTCGAAGGGAATCGAATTGCGGCAATAAATGTCCATAGGGGGCTGTTATCGTTGGTTTAAAATTTCTTAATCTTCCATTTCTGGATCCGACCTTACTGTTACCGAAGGGCGTTCATCATTTAATGGAAATGTCTCTCACCATTTCAATCAAGCTGACGTAGAATATTGCAGATAATCTCTGTGAAATTGCACTTGGATCACGGTATTTGTTATGGTCGCGCGTAACTCGATCATAACAAGTGTAATGCCTCTATCGAAACATGAAATTGTGACCGAACGTACGTTCTACCCGTAACTCGCAATTAAACTAAAAAACTTCTGTATAATTTTTGTTTAAGAAAGATTTACATTGGAACAAATGGAAATTAAACGCTGTTTAATTAAAACCATTGTAGAGGCAATGTTAACACTATCGATGTTTTCATAGGGATTGATTGCGTTTAACAAGGATCGTGTTTCTTATATGAAGTAAAGTTTGAATAGCGGCGGTAAATGCATTTCAAAAACATTCCCGATTTAAATAAGTATTCTCGTGCATCTAGAAAGACTTAAATTGAAACACATGTACGCGACTATGCAGAATTGATTACCTTACATCATCGCGATATTGTGGAATCAGAACGGGCGATATTAAAAAAGTTTATGTTCAATAAACGGGTAATGCATATAAATATTTTATTAATGCCATTGTTATATTTAACAATAGCTACGATTTTCACGCTAAGTGATTCGCGCACAATTAGCAACTAATAATTAATTTTAATTTCTTATAAAATATAGCTAACGTTTTATTGGCTATTCGGCTGATTGAAGGACCAGTTTATCGACCATTAGTCAAAATTTATTGCGCGCAATTACCACAGTAGGTAAATACAGGCATGGTTTTTTTGCAACTCACGCCACTTAACTCGTTTCAACATGTATAAGGTTATCTGACAAACGTTCAAACAATAAATTTTCGTGGTGTTAATGGCACATCTTCTCATAACGGCTGGCATTTAATTTCCTTCAAACTACACTGCCTACTGCCTTATTCGTAACTATCACCACAGTTTTATCTGTGCTATCACGCATTATGCAGAAAACTGTGTCGTGCTTTATTAAAAATATAATGTTGCCAGACCTAAAATGATCTAAACAGGGTTTTGCTGTTTGTGTAGAAATGCTTATTACCAGACGACTATAAACTTATTCTTGTTTCTAATTAATGGCGGTGAAAAGTGCTCAATCTGCTACTCATGGTTATATTGAGCACTTTATTATTAGTATTGAATTTGAAAATTTCTTGTCCAATTCTCATATACGAAAATCATCTCCAAAATTTAAAATGTTTCCTGCAAAAATTCACTGCGCAACTGGTGCCCACTGTTCGGAAAGCCGTTTTTTACTTAGAGGAATAGGGAAGCATTCTTAATTATCTTCTTCTAAAAGGTGTAAACCATGTTCTCTTGGTATTAAGTGCCTGGACTTCCTATATCAAGCTCAAGAGCTACTAGGCGAAATGGGTTTGGAACAACCCAATCCTTCTTCGATGCTCCCTGTTCGAGCATGAGTCGATTAAGCCTTTGAGGGGCTGTTTAAACGACTCTAGAGGGGAATAAATCAATTCATCATGCTTGTAAATTGTAATTGCCCAGGAGTAGTTATAATGATTTCAATTATAATGTTGCGTACCCATCTCTATTGAGCGCGGTCTATGGATTGACCGCTGAATTTCCATCATTCTTACCTCCTTTTATCTAGGTGGGTTGAGAGTATTTAGACTGGCAACCAAGGTACCCCAACTCCATTGATTCAGTATACATCATAACAATCAATTAAATATGTCGTATAACTAGCCGACCCAATTCGGTCTATCGACCCCATTACGATTACTCTGGAGCGATACCCTGCATCTTTTTTCTAAAAAGGTAGTAAATTAAATTTTCTTTTCAAACGTATACTGAAGAAGTACACATTGTGCATAACTCTTGTGCATATACCTAAAACGCATTTTGTAACGCCCCTGCGCCTCAATCGCTTTTTGTGAGTAACATCTTCCGACACTCTGTGTCCTCGACATATTCGCACTTACAGTTTTGACATCACCAATAGGTATATTTCTAGCATATGTCTCAATTTCACGTTGTAAGTACCCTCCTCTGACAATTCGCTCTTACATCCCATTAGCGGTCTAGGAGAAGGACCTATGGTTGGTAGAAATTAATTCCTATTGTATAACCAATTGGTTTTCGCATGGAAAAGTTCTGCACGTTTTACTTTCAAAAACAGCATCTCAGGAAAGAATTCATTGAGGAGCCCCCCCTTAAGACAGCGCAATTTGACGGCCATCTGGCCCACCTTCAAGGTCTATAGGCTAGGTTATAGTCAAGGTGTTGCAAAAAATTCCAGGACTCTAGGATCATTCCCCTAATAGTTCAAAACAGCAGAAGTGGATCCGGACAAAACGCAAACAATAGCAAATTTTTTGATTTCTTAAAAAAATGCGCTTAAAAATTCAATATTGATTCAAACCAACATTTAAGGTCATTTTTTATATTTTTTAATTATTTAAACCTTCATTTAATTCTTTAAAAGCTTTTTTAATCTTTTATGAATTTTTTTAGTGCGTTTTTTAAGTATCAAACACACACGTTCAACGTTCTACCCTTCATGGTATTCTATTGAAAAGTCTCACCGAAGTGAATTGGTTTGTACAAACTATAACTTTCCTGCGCATCTCCTTTTCGAGGCCAGTAGGTGGCCGGGGGAAGGGGGAAGGAGGTAGAAATTAATTATATTTTTCATGGTTATCTAATTAAAGTTCTCAACAAAAGGAACTGTTTTCTACCAACTACCGCCCTTTTTTTTGTAAAAGAGGGGGTTGAGGAAGAGACGAGTTTTATTTTTCATGTGACTCAACGAGACGAAAAGTCTTTTCGTTCAAAATTGACACGATACTATCCCGGAAGTCGCTCCCATCTTAAGAAAAAGTGATTGTAGATCGACTCAAGGTGTGATATGACCGGAAATTTTTCCTGTCGAGAGGCAAATAATTTTAAATATTTTAGAATTTCAACTCCGTTAAATCATTACTAAAATCCTAAATAGTTTTGATTTCATAACAAAAAAATTTTATAATTGTATACCACGGAACATTAAATGTTTACCGTATAGCCGTACAACTCATTTAAAACAGGAAAAATTATTTTTGTCAAAAAACGCATTTTATTCATACAGTGAATTTCTCTGCAACCAAAATATGTAAATTCTTAGGATATAAAAGGAACCACAAATGTTTATTAAGTTTCTAAAAGGCGATCGATTTCGGGTTTTCTATCTACCCATCATCAGGCCATGCTAAAATATCATTTCCATCATTTTCATATGATATTTTAGCATGGCCTGATGATGGGTAGATAGAAAACCCGAAATCGATCGCCTTTTAGAAACTTAATAAACATTTGTGGTTCCTTTTATATCCTAAGAATTTACAACGAACCCAAAATAATGGAGAACTTCATTACATATTACACAAAATATGTAAACTTTTTACTTTTTTGTTTAGTAGTTATACCTTAATTAAGTTATAAAAATAGATCTGACGGATTTAAGTACATTAATAAACTTATTTTTATATTTATTATTAGCAGGTTATTGTTTCCTATGTTAATTTAAAACGAGCATTAAAACTACACAGCCGTGCAGGGTTACGCCGAGAAATTCGAATTAACAATGAGCCTTACTGGCCACTACCGACTTTAAAAAGTTCAATCCGGTCAATTAAGTAAGTGTAAATAACAGTAGCTAATTAAATGTGTTGCAGAATAAACGTTATCGAAATCAGTCGTGTGAGGTATCCCTGGATGCGCTCTAATTTTTCCTGGTGTTTGTAAGTTGTCCCTAATTGTTATGACCACTCCGTCATCGCAATTATCGAGGATCCTGTTGGCTTTTAATAAGAAGTGCCGTGAGAGAGACATTGACATATTTCACGGCTCTTTTAATAAATTAATTAGTCATATTAGATAGTAATTACTATGTAGTTCACCCAGTGCCATGTAATTGGAATACTTGCATTCAGTATGGTATCTGGCTAAACAAATAAATAAATAAATAAAATGGTAACCAGAAGCCGAGAAATACATTAAGGAAGTTTTAATTTTTGGATGTAGGATGTAGATAATCGAATACGCTGTGTAGGCTGAAAAAAGCGTGGATGCCTCCATGAAATTGCCGAACTTTATAAAAGGTAAGCCCGTTGTTTAATTGGATCGCGTTCATTTTTGTTAATATTATATTTAACCAATTTAATTTACATGTGTAATGATTAGAGTTCAATAAAACCAGAGCATAAGGTTTTAAGAGAAGATAAAAGGCTAAACTTCCGCAAGGTAGGGAGTATACAGTTTTTTCTTTAATACTGAGCTAGCCGTGGGTGAAAATAAGATCTATTGTTTTAGTAAGATTTTTCCCAGTGCCGTAGAGGTTCAATTTTATTTAATGCCAGTGAGGTTTCCAACCCTTGTAAATGTAAATAAGCCGCTCTTGAAAATTCGGTACAACACCGCAACTAACTATACCATATCAAATATTGGTGATTTACAAAGTAAGTTTGTGATGGCTCCATGATAATAAATTAAAGGAGCCAAATGGTGGAGAAAATGTAGGGACAATATAGGTTATTGCCTGTCAAATTTTACCAGAATTTTGCAATCTTCTAAAGAACATGCCATTAAATCTACGCATGTGAAGGTTTTCAATTTCTTTTTTATACCGTCATCACAACGTTAACGAAATGAAAGCTTGTTCAATGCACCACCGTGTGCAACGCTATCTACTTGGCAATATTAAAAGTATTAATAAAAATGAACAGCATGCTCAAGAGGTTTAAATTTTCACTGA